GCAGAAAGAAAGCAGTAAATTGTCTGGACCTGAAACTCGACCTGGACCATCCCACGTGTATTAGGACCTGAAATGTGACAAAAGAAGCACAACCTAGTGTAAAATAGGTCGAGGGGCGATGATAACGAAGTCAAACAATCAAGAAATGAGGGCTAAAATATGTGTAATTGAGACCGAATCACTACCCAAAAAATAATAACTCTACGGTTTGTTTATAATTGGATTGGGTGGACAATACTTTTAAGTAAAATCCAACACAAAAAACGCAACTATTTTACACTATAAAAATATAATATAACTAATTAAAATTTCAAACAAACAAATCGAGGTTAAAAGTATCAAAATTTATAGATGTTAATTGAATTTTAAAGAAATGAAATTTGGTTGAACTTAGGTCTATCTTTTACCACAAATATTTGTGGAAAGAAGCTAAAAATTATATAAGTGAACTCATCCATAGTATACTATTCTTATGAAATTTTACCAAATCTATTACGTGAAACATAGCCCATATTAAATCACATAATGTATTAGGTTAGGTAGACCACGAGAGAAAAATATGTCAATATCCTTATGATTTCTGGGATTCGGCAGGGGTTGGCCAGGCAGTGGGCCAGCCGGTCTGGAAGCAAGAGCATCTGCTAGGTACCCAATTTTAGTGTCCATATCCTGCAGGAGTGCCTGCTGGTTCCTCTGGCTAGCTTCGATCTCCATGAATTTGTCCGCGGCCACTTCCATGAATTGCTCTAATTTATTGAACTTCTGGGTACTAGTGCTAGCCAAGGTGGTCACCAGACCCCTTAGTTCTGACACGAGATCGCCCGGTGCTGGAACTGATGGAGATGCCCCAAGCTGCAGGTACTGCTGCTGCTGTGGGGGCTGTTGAAAAGCATGCCCCTGTTTGGGATGGTACGACGGTTTCTGGAAGCCTGGGGGTCCCTGGGAGACTGGTGGCTTAGGATGATTTCCACTCCATAAGAAGTTGGGATGTTGGCGCCACCCCTCGTTATAGGTGTTGTTGTAGGGGTCGAAACGTCTGGCATTGCCGATGAAGTCCAACTGCTCATGGGGTGTAGTCGACTCCCCCATCGCCTGAGAGTCTTCTACAGTATCATGGGAGCTCTCGCACCACTGGCAACACATTGCCTGCTGCTGTCCTCTCCCTAGAACCATTCCAGAATGATCAATGGTCGAGACCAACTTAGACACAACCTACACCAACTCAAATGACGGGGTGGCTACAACATGCACACCCCAGCCTGGTGCTCGCCTCGATCTCCTAGCAGTTTCCCGATCATATCCCTGCTCTATCATCTCTTCGAAGAGCTGATTAAACATCGGCAGCGTCTTGGTCAACATGTTCCCGCCACAAACTGATTCAATCAGTTGCTTGTCTTCTGGGAAGAGGGCGTGGTAGAAGGTGTCCACCTTGAAGGCGTCATTGAAATCATGATTGGGACACTTCAATAAGAGACTGGTGTATCTCTCCCACGCATCCCGGATGGTCTCATCTTCCTCCTGTGCAAAACGAGCGATCTCCTTCTGCAGGTCCGCTGTCTTTTATGGAGGATGATAGCGGGTGAGGAACTTGTCCTCCAGGTTGGGGAACATAGTGATTGATCCCGGAGGCCGAGTGTCTAGCCACTCCTTGGCCTGCCCCTCTAGAGTGAATGGGAAGTATCTTAGCTGGATGGCATCGGCAGGGACCCCATTTATCTTGATTCCATTGATCAGCTCGTGGAATCGCCGTAGGTGCGATCTAGGGCACTCCCCATCCTTTCCACGGAATACTACCGAGCCGCGCAACATGGTGATGACAGAGGTTCTCACCTCGAAGTTGTTAGCTGGAATTTGAGGCTGCGGGATGGGCGACCTCATGTCTGCGGCTCTGGCAGCCTAGTAGTATCCCATGGTGTGCTCCTCGAGGACAACCGCATTATAATTTACCGTATCACCCATTTCTTTCTCTTCTGGGATGTGCATTTTCTCCAAAGCTTCCTCCGCATCCAGTCGTACCTTCAAAGCTCGCTTGAAGTTCCTACAAGTCCGTTCAAGCTCTTGGTTTAACGGCAATAGATATCCCAACTGGCTAGGAGTCATGCATTACCTGCACACAGACTGCAAACACAACCCGTGAAGGCACACAGATGTAAGAGAGAGAATGCAACAAATAAAATGCTAAAATTACAGCCTTTCACGTTTCTACAATAACCTAGAAGTTCCCCATCAACGGCGCCAAAAACTTGACACGCTAAAACACAACACCAATCTATGACCAAGTGTAATCGCATAATAGAAATGCAGTATAGTGGAATCAAGTAATAAATGTCAACCCAGGGCCAAGATGTAGTGCCTACTTCATGATTATCTATTATCTAGCAGGACCAAGTTTAGTGATAATGAGTTCAAACTAAAGCAGAAAGAAAGCAGTAAATTGTCCAATTTTCTGAGCAAGAGAAGAGTCACTCGAGAATGAGTCCCCCTAGCTCCTGAGTTAGGTTCAAGTTGTAATTTCTTTGGTTGATTTACTGTTGATTAAAATGCGGAAGATCCAACGGTAACTTGGAATCTCTTAAACTGACCAAGCCCTCTCAGACAGACTAACTGGCAGGCGACTAACCTTCATCGGGATAGACTGCTAAGGCAATTAACACAGATCTCCACTACTGGAAACAGATTCCAGTACAAAGCAGTGAATTGATTGACTCTCGTACAATCAATTCACTCCTATCGATTAAAGAAGCTCTTACAACCTAATCAGATTCTATCTATCTCAAGTTGCAGCAGCAATCAAAAGAAGTTGATTAGGATTCAATTGACTCAATAAACACATTTCAATCGATTATAATCAAACAGTATATCAATCCAAAAGTCATTACATCTCAAATTCCTAACACATGGAACTAGGGTTTTTCATACCCCAAGTAAGAGAAAGGTCTACTCCATAGAGAGAGAGAGAGAGGAAAACAGAAATCAAAGCAGTCATGCGCATAAGATGGGAATAATCTGCTTTGGTATGTCAATCTTCACTCCTGGGGATTCATCAGGGCTTCAATGGTGAGAAATTCAGTCCAAATAGCTCCTAGGGTTTGCACTTTCTCTCTCTATAACTCTATTTTTGCTCCAAAAAGTCGTATCCCCTTCCAAAAAGTCGTATCCCCTTCCTTTGACTCGAATCTGCGTCTTTCAACGTGATTATGGGTGAAATAAGGACAGGAATACGCTCGTAATTCTTTCCTGCCCATATTTTGCCCACAACGCGCATTTTGGTTAAGTCTCGGCGCATCCAAGGCTCCTCTCGGCAGTGAAATACACGCTAGACACTGAGAAATACGACCGTATTTTTGGGAATATTGATCGTATTTTGTGCCTGAGCCATCACAAGGTTCGACATAAAAAAATACTGGCAGTAATTTGTGAACTACGGCCGTAATTTGGGGAAGGTTGCCCGTATTTCTTCCGCAGCTCCACTTTTGAGAGGCTTTTGAGTGACCAAACGACCTCCGATTAACTCGAACCCCTCGCCTATGCCTCCCTTTACTCTTTAGGACCTGAAATATGACAAAATAACACAACCTAGCGTAAAATAGGCCAAGGAACAACAAATTCGAGCTAAAACGGTTATGAACAAGGGTGCAAACATGTGCAAATACGACGCTATCAGAAATCTTCTTTTATAGGGAAGCCTCTTCATATCCTCATTGTTATGGTTCTTCTTCTTGGAAGGGAGGTTGATCATAGAACCAGGTTCCCTAGTCTCCACCTTCTTGGTCACTCCATGAAGCTCTGGGGGTACCCCATTCGGGTGGTTGTGGATACCCCCACATATAGTAGAAGCCATTAGGTTCCACGATTCAACCTACAACGAAAAAAACACAAAAAGAAAATCAAACAAACACCAACCACCCTTCAAGTGAAGAGTGGATAAACAAAACTCAAAACAAAACACGAAACAACTAAAGTAACAACCTAAGCCTTTTTCAAATAACCTAGAATTTGTTCCTCAGCAACGGCGCAAAAAACTTGACTCGTTCCAACTACAACATCCCGATCCACGACCAAGCATAACCGGCGATCGGGTGTAGCATAGGGCAAGCAAGCAATAATGATTTAGGATCTAAAATGTGACAAAAGAAGCACAACCTAGTGTAAAATAGGTCGAGGGGTGATGATAACGAAGTCAAACAATCAAGAAATGAGGGCTAAAATATGTGTAATTGAGTCCGAATCACTACCCAAAAAATAATAACTCTACGGTTTGTTTGTAACTGGATTGGGTGGACAATACTTCTAAGTAAAATCCAACACAAAAAAATGTAACTATTTAACTATAAAAATATAATATAACTAATTAAAATTTCAAACAAACAAATCGAGGTGAAAAGTATCAAAATTTATAGATGTTAATTGAATTTTAAAGAAATGAAATTTGGTTCAACTTATGTCTAACTTTTACCACAAATATTTGTGGAAAGAAGTTAAATTTTTTATAATTGAACTCATCCATAGTATACTATTTTTATGAAATTTTACCAAATCTATTACATGAAACATAATCCATATTAAATCACATAATGTATTAGGTTAGATAGACCACGAGAGAAAAATATGTCAAAATATTGTAATTTTCTCAAAACTTGCTAATATACGAAATAAATATGTTTTGGATATAAACACTTATGATAATAGTTCGAAAACGAATTGGATCGGGTTCTACGGATTGCCTAATTCAAAATCCGCAACCAACCCAAAAGTGGAGTATTGTACAAAATAAATTCTTCACCCAATTTTAAACCTTAATAAATATGAGTGGTTATGGATCGGGTTGAGCGGGTGAATCGGTTTGCCAGTGTTTTTTTTCACCTAACCGACAGGCGACAACCTGGCCCAAAAACCGTACGATGCAAATTCGTATCGTATTCGTATGTCTCGACGTTTCTTGCGGGAAAGGTCAAGTAACAAATACAGTCTTTAAAATAAATTTAATAGTTAATTTACCATCTCCGATCACTCCCGCCTCCTCTGCTATTCCCCACCCTTTCGAAATCCCGAACAACTGAAATCTCCCTGAAGTCCTGTTGTTTTCAGCTCCGATGGCGCCGGCGGGGGACGATTTCGCGAAGGAAGAAAAGAATCCCCCTCCTCTTGACGAAGACGACATAGCGCTCCTTAAAACCTATGTAATGCTCCCTTCGGTTTAATGTAGCTGCTGCTTCCTGTCTATTCAATAGTGTTTTTGAGTTGGAGATTTTGGGTTGCGAATTGCAGGGATTAGGGCCCTATTCGAACAGCATTAAGAAGGAAGAGAAAGAGATTAAGGACTTAGCTAAGAAGATCAATGACCTGTGTGGTAAGCTTTTACTTTCTGGTCTAATTAATTATTCAACTATGATTTGCTCTATTTGCTTTTGTGGTTGGCGTTTCGCTGGTTAAAAAGTATTTGCTGTATCATGCTTAAATGAAGTCTAACTGGTTCGGCAGCCATTCTTTATCTCCCTATCTTATGCTGTTGCTGTAGCAAATATTAGCTTAGTTTGGCCCTGCTGTAGCTTTTGCAGAAGCAGCTTCTGGCTGGAGCTTTTAGATAAGTACTTTTCAGAAAAAGCAGTTTAGTGTTTGGCTGTAAAACTATTAGAAGTGCTTTTTAATATGAGCGGTTGTGTAAAATGACTATAAGGGACTTATAATATAAAATATAAATAAAAATTCGAAACAATAAAAAGTAGTCAAAATGGATCTTGTTAGATTTCTTTTATATTGCCTATGTTTGGCCCGGCTTTTAGAAGTGCTTTTCGGCTTCAAAAGCTTAAGCAGGGCCAAACACCTCTAAAAGCTCGGCTTTTGAAAAGCCGAAAAGCGCTTTTGTATAACATAAAAGCAGAAGCTCCGATTTGGAGCTTCTGCGAAAAGCTGTTTTGAAAATACAAGATTATCCTTACCATATTTTAATTTTATTTCAGAAAATATAATTTTCCTTCATTTATATCATTTTAAGAATAAAATAAATTATAAAATCATATTATTTAATATAAAAGAAATCTAACAAGATCCATTTTGACTACTTTTTATTGTTTCGAATTTTTATTTATATTTTATATTATAAGTCCCTTATAGTCATTTTACACAACCGCTCATATTAAAAAGCACTTCTAATAGTTTTACAGCCAAACACTAAACTGCTTTTTCTGAAAAGTACTTATCTAAAAGCTCCAGCCAGAAGCTGCTTCTGCAAAAGCTACAGCAGGGCCAAACTAAGCTATTAAATAATATGATTTTATAATTTATTTTATTCTTAAAATGATATAAATGAAGGAAAATTATATTTTCTGAAATAAAATTAAAATATGGTAAGGATAATCTTGTATTTTCAAAACAGCTTTTCGCAGAAGCTCCAAATCGGAGCTTCTGCTTTTATGTTATACAAAAGCGCTTTTCGGCTTTTCAAAAGCCGAGCTTTTAGAGGTGTTTGGCCCTGCTTAAGCTTTTGAAGCCGAAAAGCACTTCTAAAAGCCGGGCCAAACATAGGCATTATTATGCGACTACTTGTATTTTGAAAGAACTTCCGCGATGCCCTAGCTTGCTACTGTTTTGCGGAACCTCCGCATTAACATCGGGCGGCTACTTCTATGACAGTTCGCTTCTCAGTGTTATTGAACATGTTGGTCATTCTAGATAGCATAGTCGTTTGACTGTAGCATCCGTTACGGCAAAGAAATCCATGCTCTGAAGTTTTGATATTGTGCTTCGTAGGTATCAAGGAATCTGACACTGGTCTGGCTACACCAAGCCAGTGGGATCTGGTATCTGATAAGCAGATGATGCAGGAGGAACAACCACTTCAAGTAATGAATGCTGCTTTCTAGAATTTAGGTAGAATCAGATTATAATGATTCGTTTCCTGTTAAAATGATGTAATCTGCGGCTTCTTTTGGGAAGGTTGCCAGGTGCACCAAGATAATCAACCCAAATACCGAGGATGCCAAATATGTAATAAACGTCAAACAAATTGCTAAGGTATGTTGCCAGTCACTGTAGCAATCTCGGTTTTCTTCAGAGAAAGTTATACTACTAGTACTAATTGCTTACCTTATTTGCTCGGAACTAATTGCAGTCACTTTATTGATGCAAACAATTTTATGACGCCTTACTACAACAATGATCTTTTTGGATAACTTTCAGTTTGTAGTTGCGCTTGGTGACAAAGTCTCCCCTACTGATATAGAAGAGGGCATGCGCGTTGGGTAGGTTCCTTCATTTAGAGTTTATTGAGTGACCATTTGGCATGTTGAAAACAGTATATGATAAGATCATCCCATGTTTCTATTTGACATGTGGTTAATATTGGAGAGATTACTTGCAGTGTTGATCGTAACAAGTATCAGATACAAATACCATTGCCTCCGAAAATTGATCCAAGCGTCACGATGATGACCGTGGAAGAGAAGCCAGATGTAACATACAATGACGTTGGTGGTTGTAAAGAGCAAATAGAAAAACTGCGAGAAGTGAGTTTACTTAAGTTTGATTTTTGTGTTCTTTTACCCTACAAAAGTATTGGATTCATGAACCTAAATCAGTTTTATGTTTATGATTTTCATTTCCGTAGGTTGTTGAACTTCCCATGCTTCACCCAGAGAAATTTGTGAAGCTTGGAATCGATCCTCCCAAGGGCGTTTTATGCTATGGTCCTCCTGGAACTGGGAAAACTTTGTTGGCTAGAGCTGTGGCCAACAGAACCGATGCATGTTTTATTCGTGTCATCGGTTCTGAACTTGTTCAAAAATATGTTGGTGAAGGAGCTCGTATGGTTCGGGAGCTTTTTCAGGTGAGAACTGGTCCTCATTGTGCTTCAGTTTTCTCAATTCTAATCTTATAGAAATTCTTGCTTGCTGAATGATCTATTTGTTTGCTGTAGATGGCTCGGTCGAAGAAGGCTTGCATTGTCTTCTTTGATGAGGTTGATGCAATTGGTGGCGCTCGATTTGATGATGGTGTGGGCGGAGATAATGAAGTTCAGCGCACAATGCTTGAAATTGTTAACCAACTTGATGGGTTTGACGCTCGAGGGAATATCAAAGTGCTAATGGCAACAAACAGGTATCTTCTGGAATCAGATGGTCCCATAAAAGATAACATTTCTGTTAATGCCGCACCTTAAACAGAAGCTTTGTTCATTCATATTTATGCTATCTGCTGGTATGATGGTCTGTCTAAAAAAAAAATAGTTCGGCCTCACACATTTTTCTCAAATGAGATTGTTGTGCTTGCTGTATGCAAATTCTTACTCGTGCATTTTCTCTTCTGGAAGGAAAAGCTCATGTGCCCTATGGGAATTCTTTTGTTAATCTGCAGACCTGACACCTTGGACCCAGCACTTCTACGTCCTGGAAGACTAGATCGTAAGGTAGAGTTTGGACTGCCAGATATGGAGAGCAGGACTCAGATTTTCAAAATCCATACGCGGACAATGAATTGTGAAAGAGATATTCGCTTTGAGCTCCTTGCACGGCTTTGTCCAAATTCAACTGGTAAGCTCTGTTTTGTGATATTTGTTACATAGTTTTAAGTTCAAATATAAACTTTTACGTGTATAACTCTCATGCTGAAGTAGTGAAGTCCTCAGGTTCATTATAATTCCTCTTGATACCAATCCTACTTTCTTGCAGGAGCCGACATCAGGAGTGTCTGCACTGAAGCCGGAATGTATGCCATTAGAGCACGTAGGAAGACGGTGACGGAGAAGGACTTCCTGGATGCCGTCAACAAGGTCATAAAGGGATACCAGAAGTTTAGTGCCACACCTAAATACATGGTGTACAACTAACCTAGACATGTGCTTTTCGAACACCACCTAATGTATTTGTAGTAGATTTTGTAATTTGTTTCCAGAATTACTTGTTGTACACCTTGGGAACACCACATACCTCATATTTCTAAGCTAGTCAAATGTTTCTGCTTTTGTTTTTGGTAACCTCAGATTGGGTGTGTTTTTTTTTTTTTTTTTTTTTTGTATGGTCTCAGATTGAGTTTAGAACTCTTTATTTCATTGGAATTGAAACTGCAGGTATCGGTGTTCAAGGCAGCAAATAATCTGTTTACCTAGGTTCGTGGAAACGATTAAAGAGGATTGTAAAATGACAGTAACTCAACTAGTGATGATCGCAGAGAAATGGGTATTGCGAATAGAGAATAGATGAGCCATGAATGACTAGTTTGTTCCACATTGGATATTCTTAGGGTTAATATTTTCGTATGGGTTGAACTTTGACCAAAATAAACATCCTGGCCAATCTTTTCGATATATAACATCCTGACTCGAACTATACACCAAAATAAACAATTTGGCCAAACTCGATGTTTGACCGTTAACTTGGACGGTCAAACGTGTTGACTAACAGTCAACACGCCACGTCACTGCCAAGTCAGAAGACCTTATAAATATTTAATTTTTTTCGTTTTTTATTTTTGGTTTAACTAAGGTATTAGATGATTTTTTTTAATTTATAATAATTTAAAATTAGGGAATCTATGGAAATTGTGAATTATTTTAAATATTTTATGCTGACTTGGTAGTGACATGGCGCGTTGACTAACGGTCAACGCGTTTGACCATCCAAGTTAACGGTCAAAAGCCGGATCTGGCCAAATTGTTTATTTTGGTGTATAGTTAAGGCCAGGATGTTATAGATCGAAAAGATTGGCCAGGATGTTTATTTTGGTCAAAGTTCAGGCCATACGAAAATATTAACCCATATTCTTATCATTCCTGGTTAAATTCTGAATTTTTGTTTTGCTAGTCAGAAACATATTTCACTGACCGCTAGTTCTTTTGCAACAAAGCTACTATAAGTTTGATGTCTTTGGCTTAATGTTGTCCTAGTTTCTACTGTATGTTCAACTATCTATCAAAATTGTATAAGGCAGGTGATGTCGCAGCAACCCATGAGGTAACAGAAGCAGTTGAAACAAAGATTACATGGGAGATGAATGAAGAGCTGCTCAAACCTTTACCTGAGAAGGAAACGTGGGATGCAGTGTAGAGAATGGCTCCGACGAAGGCCCCTGTAGTATATGGAATGTTAGCACTTTTCTTTCAAAAGAATTGGTAAACAGTGGGACCTGCCGTAATAGAAGAATCGCAACATAGATTAGAAAGAGGGATGGTTCCATCGAGCCTAAACCAGACCCTATTAGCAATGATTCTATTGATGCCAAGTTCCGAGCAGCCTGCTTTAATGTGTTTGGTCAACGGTGGTCGGCGGGGTTATTTTGGAGGGGAGAGCACCCAAACCCAATGTTTTAACCAGTTGTAGATACTAACACCATTAACTTACACATATAGATGATTTTATCATTCTTCTCCTTATGATCACCTAAAAATGGTTTGTGACGGTTGTATGATGTCGGCTGAATACTGGGTCTATCAATTGCCCCCTTACCAATAGGAAAATCATGACTGAGACCAAAGTTTTCTATTGGTAACACATCATTAGGTGAGTGATTTAAATTACGACATGCATAGCCGACACAAATTGGGCAAGCACTTGTTTGAGAGTCAAGTCAATCATGGTAGAAGGAACACACCATCGTGGCGAGCGATCATGGAAAGCCGTGTCGATTATGACAGGCAGGCTGCAGCAGTCGTCGTGGGCACCATGAAGAATCGTGCCAATCTTGGTTGGCGACCCCAACCAATCATTGCATGCTACCAGTGCCAATTAATGCGGCCTTATTGTGTGTTTAGTGTTGTCCGTTATGAGTGATAAGGACAATAGTTTGGGTTATGCAGCATCATAGGAGAATTTTGATATCAAGTATAAATGAGAGTTTAGGAGGGATTACCAGATAGTTTTTGAGTTTACAAAAACTCTCATACTTGGATTTTTCTCGATGGGAGCATGAGAAGGGAAGAGGTTCCCCTTCCAGATTGGTGATGATGATGCAAAAGTTGTCCCATCATGATTCGGAAGAGATGAAAGGCAGAGTGGTGTGGGTGAAAAAGTGGATATTTTTTTCACAATAGCAATTTGAGGGGAATTGAACCCTTGACCTCATTGATGGAGGTGTGCCTACTTAAAAAGTAGACCACATGGGCTTCCTCAGTAAAACGTAGGCCTTACGAGAGGCACACCAAAATCAGTGCCCCCTCGACCTCGTTGTGACTTGCATGACATCAGGTTTCTCCACCATCTCTCCTAACGGGGTTGACGTTGACAATGATAATTTATAAATTTCTTCATCGGGCTCCCTAGTAAGCGCAAATTGTTGATAGAACTTTTCATCAAGCCTTACTATAAGTGCCAATTGTTGATGTCAGGGCGCCATTCCATGGGAGGGCTCGAGGATCCTATGATTTCGCAGCAAATCGATGGAGGAACTAGTGGGGTTGAGGGTCCGCAGTTTTGGATCAAAGATTGACACAACTCAATCTTGATGGGGAGATCCTCGATTCTTGGAGATAGCAAATTGAATGATGTTTGGAGTTGCATCTTGACGAATTCCTTCTTCGGGTTGCAGATCCTGCATGCACATCTCGTTGAGATCCTCGATTCTTGAAGATAACAACTTGGTTGATGATTGGAATTGCATCTTGACGAATCCCTTCTTCGGGTTGCAGATCTTGCATTTCCATCTCGTTGGGATCCTCGATTCTTGGCGATAGCAACTCAATAGTCAATAGATGTTGGGAGTTGCATCTTGACAAATACCGGCTTCGGGTTGAAGATCCTGTGCGATCATCTCGTCTTGCTGGATTGATGATTTGTTGGTATTAATCTCACCGGGCCCCACGGTGGGCGCCAATTGTTGATGGCAAGCTTCAATGTGTTTGTGGTCCGGTGAGCGCCGGTCTTCTTTGGCCAACGTCCGTCACCAGCCTCCGAGATGAACACCTGCAAAAGAGGACGCGCCGGCGGTGGTCGGCGGGGACCTGCTCCAAAGCTCAAGTTAGTATTTGAGAGGAGAGTAACCGGGAGCGGCGTATTGAGCCAGCTCTTGAGAGAGATTTAGAAGTTCAATTCCAAAATGAACTCTCAAAATGAACTGCCTAGAAAACATAAATGAGCGTCCTATTTATAGGTGCCTCCTGCTTCTGGCGTAGGTGGCGTGCTCGTAATAAATAAAAATAATACATTACCTCCCAGCCAACCTGAGTGCAATGGGTGGATGGCTACAAGCAAACACATATCAAAATAAAATTTAGAAATAAAATAAATTCATTTACCTAGTGTCTTTCTACTAAGCCACGTATATAAGTATGTGGAAGATGGGGAAATTTTATTGTGATGGCAATAATCAGAATCGCTTGCTCCACTTCTCTTCTCATCAGGGCACGTGTAGTAGTGTAGATAGTGATGAATTGGGGATTTTTTTTTGTGGCCAACTCTCTTGCTATTACCCAACTAATTGAGAGTAAATAACACACCCATCCACCTTGTCTTTTGTACGTGGAGGCATGGGAAAGTGATCTTTTTAATTCATGTGTATGTGGTAAATGGTGGGTGGTAGAATTCCCACCTCATTTTTGCCTAAGGCCACATTGGTGTTGACTCATCCATCTTTCTCCACCTCTTATCCAAGTTAAAAGGGTTGGATAAGTTTGATGATGATTGGTGGTTTGAGTGAAGAATAGTACAGGTAAGGGTTCCATTACCATCCATCAACTAATTACTCTTAATAATTCGTACACATGGAAAATAGCATGTGATGATGTGTTAATCCTTCATTTGGTTGGAGGGAAGCAAATAGAAATTGTCATCCACATAAGAAACCATTCCATGGATGTAATTTGGTTTGATGGGGTTATTTTGGAGGGGAGTGCAGCCAAACCCAATGTTTTAACTAGTAGTAGATACCAACATCATTAACTTACACATATAGATGATTTTATCATTCTTCTCCTTATGATCACCTAAAAATGGTTTGTGACGGTTGTATGATATCGTTTGAATACTGGGTCTATCAGATTCCGAAAACAAAGAATCAAGCAGGTCTCTCATTCAAGAGCGGGGGCCATTTTAGAGGAAGTTCACTCTCTTCTTCCCTCCTTTTCCTCAGTCTCGTGCCACTTTGCTCATCGGAGTTTCAACAGAGCTGCCCACCTCGTGGCAAAACAGGCTCTTTTATTGGGTGTCCGGTTGCATACTGACCATCGTTCTTTGTTAGTGTCTCTCTTTTAACTGTGTTGTCCGACCATGCCCTGGGGGTTTATCTTGCATAAAAAAAAAGCCCAAAAGAATTCGGCCCTACAAGTCTTTGCAAGGTACTTACAAGATCTTATCAAAAGTTCTAGCAAATAGACTAAAGCGAGTACTCCACAAGGTGATATCAGAAACTCAGAGTGTATTCTTTTCAGGAAAAAATATCACTGACAATATTATGATTGCTTTTGAGTGTTTCTTTGCAATGAAAATTAGAAGAAAAGGAAAGAAAGGATACGTTGCAGCAAAACTGGAAATTGCCAAGGCCTACGACCTGGTTGAATGGCATTTCCTAGAAACCATTATGCAAAAATTGGGTTTTTATGGAAGATGGGTGAACATCATTATGCAATGTGTGAGCATAATCAGTTATGCAGCTTTAATAAATGGTCAACAGTCCCTAGTGATAGTTCCCACCAGAGGTTTGCGAGAGGGTGACCAAATGTCGTCATACCTATTTCTACTATGTGCGGAAGGACTATCAGCATTCACCAGAAAGGCGATAGAAAAAGGGGATATACATGGTATACGTGTGAGCCAAAGAGGACCAGAACTAACCCATTTGTTTTTCTCTGCAGATGATAGTATTATCCATTAAAAATACAAACAAGGAGGCAGTGGTTCCCAAATAGATCCTAAAACAGTATGAGATGGAATCGGGATAATAAGTAAGCTTGGAGAAATCACAACTGTCTTTCGATAGCAACACTGATGAAGATCAAATAAGAATATAGCAGCAATCCTAGGTATGAAACAAGTTGAATACCATGATAAATACCTAGGTTTACCAACTATTATTGATAGATCAAA